CTGATTGGTGGCTGAGTGATACCAGAATTGGGAGTGCATATACACTCCAGCCTATAAATCAAGTCAGTTCAAGTTCATGAGCTAGATACTGAGACGAACCCTGCGCCTGTCCAGTTGGGGTACTCGACAACCTGGGAACTACCTTACGGAGTTCGAACAAGAGCTCTACCGCTGCACAACCTCTCTCTACGGACGACTCAAGTTGTCTATCGAAAATATCAGCTTTTGGCTCGTGTCCTAAAAGTGCTCGTCACTTACACTTGATTCGGTGCCCTTCGCTTCTCCACAATGGATCCGGCTGTGGTGGCTACATCGTCGAGGATCATGACAATGCCTTCGATAGCATCCACCGAAATATTTTCATCATTAATCAGGGAAGAAACAATCTCTAGTGTCTGCTTTCCGGCTATAGGATGGTTGATCGTCGACCGCATCAGAGCAAAGGTCAATCGCCATTCCGTTGGAGAGCTGAACAACTGTGATAAGTATTGAAGATTTTATCATGAGGACTACATACCGAATAGCCGACTTGTGTTGCTGTAATAGCAAGCCAACTCCCGCTGCCAATTGCTCGGCGACAGCATTTGATATCTCAACAGGAAGACCACCCAATATATCCAGAGAAAGTATGAGCTGATCGCGTAAGTTTGGCTAGAATAAATTCTATTAGATGAATAGATTATGATAAACTCTGGATCTTACCTCTTCTGCAGCGAGTCGACACATTTTCAACAAGCCAACAACGGCACGTTCAACGAGAAGGATACTATACCATTGTGCATCTTTGAGAATGGCCGAGATAAAATCAAAGACGATGGGCCTGTGGCGATTAAGTCACCCAAGCTCAACTGAGACCGAAGATCTTACCAAACTTCTTGTAGATGTTTTGCCGTGTGTGATGCAATGCTGATCATGGTTTCCAATAAAAACACCGAAGCAGCATCGTATGAAAGAGGCTGTACAATGCGTTCCTTTGGAGGCACTCCAGTCGGTTGAGGTAGCTCCTCATTTTGTTTGGCTTTTAACCGTTGTACCGTGCGCTTGTTCGCGGCATCTTGAATTGTGTGCAAGGCCGCCAGGAGCGGCTCTAATTCAAGTTGCCTTATAGAAGGTCAGTCAAGAAGAATATCACAAGTGAAAAGACATACATTATTTGACTGTATAGCTCATCAAGGCGGCAGGCAGCGATACAATCGACCGCACACATAGTCTTTTCGATCTCTTCAGGAGTTGCTTCAATCAGAGTATCGTTGCTTCCTCCATAGGGTGTCAATAGGTAAGATGAGAGTGCAGAGAGGAGACCACCATCCATTCTAGGAGTTGGTTGTGTTGGTTTTCTCGCCGCCAGAGGTATTAGCGACACTCCCCCGAGAAAATCTTCCATTTGCAGCATACGAGAGGGTAAAAGGGAGTACAAGAATAGTGTTTGGAGCATATCAATGACCTGTCCCTCTGTCAGTTGCAGTGCACTATTCACCTTGTATTACGTACCGGTGTCCAACTCTCTCTGAGGTAGTTGACGTTTCCATTAAGAATCGTGAATAAAACCACGGTTGAAAGTTGTGATCGCAGGCTCTTGCCAAAGCGAACTGAAAGGGCAGATACCGTAATGGTTTGACCCTCCACCTCTACAATTGGGAAGTTGGACTGCCTCGGGAAGGTGACTTCTTCAGCCAGGCCAGTTAGGTACGCAAGCGACATGACAATAAAGTCAAAAACTTCGGGAAGATCGAAGCGGCTTGCCAGAGTAGCACAGTCACGGAATCCAGTGATCACTTTCTCCACCACATAATCATCATCTAGAGTCCGGAATGCGGTTGAGATGGCACTGACGACAGGCCGCCAGACCAATCGGAACATGTGACTATCAAACTCGGAAGAATGGCAGGACATCAACGGACCTGCGCCGCACTCAGTAACCAAGCTCGGTGAAGGTGGGTAACTTACGAGTTTGCCTGGAGCGAAGTAGGAGCTCCTTCCATGCATAGTCAAAACCGAGTTGTCCGACGTGCTCCTCTGGCATTACGATTTCACGCTTCTTGATACTATCATAAATTGCTTGCTGAAACGGGCTTCAGTAACATGTGTCACTTAATAGTGAATATATTACCAGGAATTCGATCGAGAAATCACTCTTGTCATTGACACCACGCAAATTGCGCTTGAAATCATCAAATGTCATCCGTTTCTGAATATAAAATCTTCAATATTTCTGAGGTAGTTTGCAATCACCCAACGTACTCTAACTTGCGGATTGTGAAGGTCGGTGTTCAGCATAATGATGGCAAAAGCAAGAACATGTACGGCATCTTGCGACTTGATTTCACCTTTGTCAGAGATCAGCTAATGGGACTAATATGTTACAATTGAACGAACCGGGATTAGAGTTGAAGTACTTTGCGGCAAACGTATCAGTAATCCTCTCAATCTGTTGGGACTCTCCAGGCAGTCGGAAGCTTTCCAACATTTCTCGCATGGCCTCAGCAATAGGAACCTGACCAATTCATACAAATAAGGCTCTTGTATAGATCAAAACGAGAAGGATTGACTTACGTCTTTAAAATCAAACTGGCCGATGAACGCTTTCAGGATGTCAATATTGTCAGGCTTCGCCAAGAATTCTCCCAATAGTTTTTTATCCAGCCGCGGGGTGCTCTTTAGGAAATGAGCTATACTATACGCTCGTGCTCGTGCCTTCTCTTCGTCTGTTGCAGTGGGTGGATAGTCTGTCCTGATGAGCTTGTGCTCTTCCAAGAAAGCGATACCGCCTTTTGGGTGTTTATTGAATCGTGCTGCACCTGTGAGCAACATCAATTTCTTCGATTTGGTTTCCAGAATTCCGGGGATGGGTGGATAGTCCTGTGGGTGATATTAGGGTGCATCAGTCTGGGAAGAAAGAATCTTACTGAAGGCCAAGGTGTCGTTTCCTAAAGTATTTCGAGTTAATGCTGGGTATGAATGAGGGTTATGGAGCTGACCTGATCAATTCTCCCTGCCATATTACCGACAAAGGCGAGTAACAGATCTAGACAAAGCACTTGACTCGCGCGCTGCTGTGGATCTGCATGCTGAACGCTCTTTGATCCGCATTAGATTTTATTTAGATTGGATGTATAAAGGCTTCAATGACTCACCTTTGCCAAGAAACTGATAAGCCTCTCGAACAAATCTTCACAGTCAATATCGCAGTCATAATTGACCCAGATATCAACCATGAATTCTGGGTACCGGCTTAGGTGACCAAGGATTTCGAGCATCAATTCTCGTGTCTCCCCTCTGGCAGGAGTGATTCCAGTTCTTCCAGCTCGTGAAGCAGGGTGGCTATCATCCCCATCTGCATCTTCCTTTTCTCTCTCTGCCAAGTCACTCGTACTAGCTGCCGAGCTTGCACCTTTCTTTGTTTGCGTAATACCAAGGCGACCTCCCGGAATGGCACTAATGCTACCAGGAGGTGGTGTCAATTTATCGACGAGGAAGCTCAAGAGTAGTTCCTGCTGGAGCTTAAGATGGGGACGCATTGTTTCGAAGATGGTGGCAATGGTCCTTAGTGCTAGCGAGAGCACGGTGGGGTTATCCGACCGAGCGAGTTGAAAGAGGTACTTGCACCCTGTATCGACCACAAGCTGTCGAAGGCTAGGGAACTTGGCGATGGTTGGTCCAGCTATGGAGAACGCGACGTTTAGAGTGGAAAGGGATGGAATAAGGAGGCTATCTGTATGCGAACGGGAGAGTTGCTGCTGCGAGTTAGGATCCAAGAGCGATAAAAGGACCTTTAGTAGTTCCACAGCAGATGGGAGACCATATGGTGGAGCTGTACATGGGTTAGAAGACCAAAAGGGGGGTCAAAGTAAACAAACCAGGTGAAGTGTCAATAGGGCTCTTTTCTTCCTCCTTTTTTTCTGGGACCGCAGTTTCTAAGGCTTCCTCAATACTTTCGGTAGGCTTTTCTCGGACTGGCGAGACGGTCATGCGAAGCTCGCTCTTTTCAGCACTTTCGTCCCCAGAATCTCCAAGCTCGTCGTCAGCCGGATCGAGTGTCTCTATTCGCAGAAAGATCACTCTAACAAGGTCGTGCATATAATATTCAGCAGTGCGCCGTATGGCCTCTGCAAAGCAATTGAGAATAGGGCGTACATTCCAGCACTAGGGACTCACCTCCCAATCTCACTTGACAGCACGTAGTCAGTACCGTCTCTAGCATTTCACAGACCTCGATGTCACCAAGTAGTGATCCCACAGGGCCGCATATACATTCACGAACGATTGCGATAATCCGGAAGATGACAGATTCGTCCGTCGAGTTACTTCCAGCATCAAACTTGCAGTGAGATATGGTGTGGCTTAGCTCGTATAGAGCCGGCTTGAGCTCGGGTGATGAAGGCGAAATGAGGCCACATGTGAAGAACGAGTGTATTGACATTAGTGCGGCAGAAGTGATTGGGGCAGTTGTAATGGAAGAGCGAATAAGCGCCAGAAAGGGAGAAAGGATTGACGTTAAAGGCATTTCTAGCACATCTGGATCCATTTTAGTATTTGATATTGGTATATAGTTGAGGAATACACACCAACAGATGCTCGAATATCTCTCTTCAACTCTTCAAATCCCATCATCAAGTCGACATCCGTCCCACTGGAATGTGTTCTTGACTGAGATGGAGCAACATCAGGATTCATTGCAACGCGTAATCCAAAGGTGCTGGCCAACGATGCACTTGTGGATGTAGGGAAATAGGCAGTCGGAGTGGCCCATCGTGAGTTCTTGCGCATTGCAGAAGTGACAGAGAGTATCTCCGAGTAAACGAGATGCGAACTAGGCACCGCTAGGTTGAAACGAGGTGGGTTCTGCATGACTCAAGGACAAGTCGAATAAAGTGATCAGCGGGAACGCAATCGTGGAGTAGGTGATGAATAAGGAAAGTAAGTCTGTAGATGACTTTCTTTAAGATACTGAAATATTTTGCGTTCCTCCGGCCAATTTATTCGTTTCAGGAATGAGGACGTGGTCAAGTTTATGAAAGGACACGAATGCCCAAAGTGGTCGAATTCAAGTTGAAGCTTAGCCCCGCTTCGCTCAACAGTATACGTGTCCAGAAATCGAGAACCTATTCATATTATGTTTAGACACGATTACCGTATCGAATCAACCATGTTCGTAGTTTTTGGCAGCAGTCTGATGCAAGCATTTGGGCCGCTAGCGCCAACCGAACCACTTGTCAAATAGGATTTAAAAACATTTTGTCACTTATATTCGATTCTAATAGTCCCATAATGCTATTAAACTATGAGATCAACACAGGGATAGCTTTCTGAGCGTTTCTAAGGCCACTACTTAGCCGTATTGTGACACTCGTGGTGGATATTCGAATAGAGACACGGTGAGACGCCTGCTCCACACGATTAATTGGTATAGGGTAGCTATTAAGAGTTCTCCGATGGCCAAGGCAGTAAGGTTGGAGGCAAGAGTGGTGAACGCGTGTAGCCACACTCAAATTTCGACCTTCCTACCATGTTCTTGACTCGCTCTGAATACGGTATGCACTAGTATTCTGGCCAAACGCGGTATCTCATACACTGCAGATCGTGGTGTCAACACCTTTTCGCCCGAGGGACGGTTGTTCCAAGGTGAGTGCGATCTGATATGCTTGCATCTTGAACTTAGGCCTTGTTTGCTCTAGTCGAATATGCGATAGAAGCTATCAAAGTGAGTCTATCTTCCAACCTCATACTCGAATGCGTTCCAATGCAGCACTTAGCTCGGTTCCACCACAGTCGGTATTCGTACCCCTGAAGGAGTGGTATTAGGAGTCGAAAAGCGCGTCCCATCACCCCTCCTAGAGTCCTCTTCCGTTGAAAAAATCATGGAAATCGATACGCACATTGGATGCGCCATGTCCGGACTGACTGCCGACGCGCGTACCATGATCGACCATGCAAGAGTCACTAGCCAGAACCATGCTTTTACATATGATGAACCGATTGGTGTAGAGAGTGTTACGCAGGCTGTCTGTGATCTTGCTCTGAGGTTCGGTGAGAGTATGGATAACGAAAGTGCAATGATGGTGAGCCGCCATCTGTTCGCCACAGTAATCATATTTACGCCTCTCCTTTCTAGAGTCGACCGTTCGGTGTTGCTCTATTGATTGCTGGTATTGATGAGAAAGGTCCTCAATTGTAAGAAAGTGTAAACGGTCGAGAGCAGAGTTTGATGCATCTCTAGATATCATGCCGATCCGTCTGGAACATACACCCGCTACGAGGCCAAGGCAATAGGGAGTGGCTCTGAAGCTGCCCAAAGTGATCTACAAGACAAATACCATAAGGTGTGTTACTCCACACTCGAGCATAGTCAAGGTCTGAATGTATTGCTAGCAAATGACACTTCTGGAAGCTCAACACCTCGTACTGCGTGTTCTGAAACAAGTGATGGAGGAAAAATTGGATCATCACAATATTCAACTAGCGCAAGTAACCAAGGAAAAAGGGTTCCAGATTCTCACAGAGACCGAGTTACAAGGGCTTATTGATTCAATGCCCGCAGCACCTGCACCAGGAACTACATAAGGACCTGTCAAAATCTTATTGAAGCCGTTAATTTGAAACTAGATAGCAACGAAAGATTTTCATTAAGACTGTAAGGACACAATACTGCAGATTGGCTAAACGAAATGTAATCTAAGCACAG